TGAGAATTGTCTCTGCGAGTATATGGTGGACTATTTGGAAAGAAAGAAATTCTAGGTGTTTTGAGAACATAGAGAATGATGTCCAGAAAGTCGAGTTAAACTGCATTCTATTGTTATGTTTTTGGTGTAATCAAGTATACTCCATCAACACTTAATCAGTAATTGATGTTTAGACTCAATATAGACTGAAACAAGTGGAAAAGGAGACATCTGTATATAATGGTTCCAGTACAACCATGTACTATTTTGTGATATAATATAAAGTTACCTATTTCAAGAAAAAAAAAGTTGGAACTGTAAAAGCAGGAGAATGATGGAAGTTCCAGTTATAGGATTATTTGTCCTGACTCCCGAATTGACAGTTGGATCAAGTCAGTCAATAACTTAGAGGTGTGAAAATGAGGCTACTCTGCTACACCTTCGATCGAACCAACTGTTTAAGGAGGTGAGAGATCACTGTGGAGGCTTCCTCCAAACAAACACATAAGGAGGCAGAAAAATCAAACCTACGTGCAAGTGCAACTGTTGGTGGTGGCTAGAAAGAAGCTTATCGAGTCGATGATCACATTGCACATGGGTCAAAGACACTACCTTTATCCCGATAGGGCAAGGACTAGAGGCAACAAAAACAATGTCCAGAAAGGGAAGCAACGCAAATTTTCAAATATCAAAGAGGAGTAAACTGTATAGTACTCTTTGCATAAGCAAAAACTGATTACATAAGAAATTCCAAAAATTCTACAAGACAAACAAATAGAGAAAATGACCTACCTCTTGATTGGCAGAAACAAGCAACCGAACAGAGTCTACTTCATTAAGATGTAGATCATCACTTAACTTTAGGGCCTAAATATCACAAAACAAATTAGAACAATACAAATTGTTTGCAACACCAAAACAAATGTGAAAGAGAAATATTTACAATATGCACCTAAAGATAAAACAGGTGTTCAATTCAAAGACAAAGTAGATATAGAACATTTAAATTTCGCCATTATGTGTGTGAACACAATTTTTTATTACTGTGTTGTCCGCGTCGACTTATATGCACCTCGACTAATTCGATAGGATACTTTCTACCTCCCACACATGTCACAATTATTTGTTTAGTTCATTCGAGGTGACTCTTGTCTTCCTCTTCCCCTAATATTTCTCCACTCACTACATCCAATAGTTGCATTTGTAAATCTTGCTTGAATTCCTCTAATACCTACATTGACTTTACTTTACACTAGAGACTGCAATGCCAATTGGTCAAGATGCAGTCAGGCGAGGCGAATGAAGAGTTTTTCGTCCTGAAATGGCAAAAGTTTTTTTTCTTTGAAAATGACATTAAAAGATAATTATGGCTGTGAGTCTCAACTCATGCCCCTAAATCACAGGGAATCAGAGGGAGCAGACATGTCAACTCTATTTCAATTTTTGTGCACATAACCGTGCTTCCTTCATTCTCAGTATCATCAAGTGCATCGGCTTAATGTGCTCAGATGGTAAGGGTGCTATTAATGAAAATACAAAAGTACAAGACTCTTGAAAGACCAAAATAAACTGATCTATGACAACTATGCAACTAATTTGTTCCTCCTAAGATTTCTCGAAAAATCATAAACTGCACTATACCATCAATATGCCTACTCTTACACCAGAAAAAAAAAATTATGCAAATAGGTGTTCTTGATCCTATTAATATGACTTTTTTGTCCTCCAATACAAGCTCTATTCTTCTCCAACCATAGAGTCCAAAAGATGCAGAGAGGAAAAATGAAACATATTTGTTTCAGATCCTTTTGGAATATGTCTACCTGCCATCATTCTAACAAACCACTGATGCTATTAGGCATCATCCAAGGAAGACCACAGATACTAAGAAATAAGTCCCAGCAATGCTTGGAGCACATGCACTTCACATCTCAGCACAATGGAATATCTTCCCAGCTACATCTAAAAGTTTCTGCAACCTTCACCACTTTTATTTTTTGAGAAAGGTAACACTACTTCTATATATCCACAGATATAGTTCACCACTTAAGGTTGTAGGTGTGGGATCCTTACCAGATATGGTCAATCAATTTTGGGTACTTTGACCAAAATTAATAAAGAAATTAAGAGAGATACAATGATTTTAACTAAAAAAAATTAGGGTGAAGTCACAATTTAGGTATATGTATTTTATCATTACAAAATATTGGCTGAATACATATGCAGCCCCACCTAAACTCAAGTTAAATTGTGTCTGTTAGACACATTTTGCTAACATGGCACTGTATGTTTGCCACACAATTTTAGCTCGTGAGGCCATCATTCAGAATAATATACAATTTTTTGTCCGTCTTCTACATTTTCTTTCCCAGCATTTAGTAGAATAATGTTCTCTTAGCAGAAGGGTCAAGTTTAGGTTGTAAAGAGATGATGGCTAGTTTTTAGGTGGAGATTATTAACTAAGAAAATAAGATAAGTCCAGTTGACATCAACCCAACAATGTACAATCAAACCTCGTTATAACAGCATTTCATTATAACATCCTTATTTTCTCCAGAGTCAAACTTTCATGTTATATTTTACCTCTCTATAACAGCATTCTACCTGTAACAGTTGTGGCATTTCGTGGTACATTCTTTGTTAAATTACCCGTCTATAACACTCATACTCAAATAAATACTGTGTAGTAACATTTGGTAAAAGGACATAATTATTACACAGAAAGAGATTTCTAGCTCATATTGAGCTACAGCTCCCAAGGTTTAGGGACTTGATATTGAAAAACCGTTCTTGAGTAGATAGATTAGTATGAGCAAGTATCCAATTATAATTTCCAAGGGATTATGATGCTTTGATAGTAATGAAAAAAAAAGAATCCTTTAAAAAAAATCATGAATTAAGTTACATATGGTATAATGAGAATACAGCACGTGACGGAACTCACAATTTGAACATCCTGATCATCCAGTGAAATTGGGCCAGAATCTGGAAGTCTCACTTCTTTGGACTGGACTTGAACTCGGTCCGAGGGCTTGGGGGGCTACATATTAAGGGGGAAAAGTGAGCTTGGTCATTGATAACATCATTCTTTCACAATAATTTTTCCACATATATTTTTAATTTCAAAAAAAAATCCACATTTTGAAAGGAGAAAAAAAAAAGACAATGTGAAAAATTCTCATTTTGGCCAAAACATTTCACAGGCACATATTTCTTTCTTAAGCAAAATCAACCAACAAACCAACCATTCCAAGAAAATGAAATTCATAGATCAATAGACACAAATAATTACCTCTTAACGCATCGATATACATGCTTGAGTATTCAGAAAAATAACATTTCTACAATCTAAAAAAGAAATTCAATAACAACTGCATAATTCAATCAATCATTCAATTAGCTGATCCCTAAGTCAAACCTAATTAGGTCAGCTAGGCTATACGAATCCTCTATATCCATTCATCAATATTTGAGACCTCCTTTTTTTCATTATGAATGAGGACTCTGTTCTGGTCTACTAAATTTCAACAATAAATAATCAAACTCAAACTAAAGTTTATTTGTTCCTCATATCTCACACATTCTTATATATATAATTGAGATATCCACTGTTTAAGCTTAAAACTCGTTTTTTTCCTTGTTCACTTCAATAGCTACACTGACCTACCAAATAAAATGAATAGAAATTTACCGGATAGGAAAGTAGTGACTGGAAAGATGGAAGAGAGTGACGAATGGCGTGAAGCAGCTCGATCCTCTCCGATGGCGTAGGAGGTGTGGGATTCAATACAGTAGATTCAATTAGAGATAGTAAAATCTTCAGGGAGACCATTGTTTCTCTGTTACTCTCAGCTTTAATCTCCGCTCACCGGAATCTCTGCGTAGGTTTCAGCTCCGTTCACCGGAATCTGTGTGTACTCTTCAGCTCTGTTCACCGGAATCTGTGTGTACTCTTCAGCTCCGTTCACCGGAACTGACACAGTGAGAGTGAGGAAGAAGGCGGGAAGAAAAGCCCTAGTTTAGGGTTTTTGTATTGTAAAATAAAAAAAGTAAGATGAAAATTGGTGTACGGAAAATTATTTTGTTAGTATGTTTAAAAAAAATATATTTTCGGGATGCGGTGTAAAAAAAAAGAGTTCTCGAAGGCGGAAAAGAATCCAATGAATTCAAAAAAATTGAACGAAAAGTCATGTGAGTTGAAATCTCGAATTTAGTCGTGAACTTTTTGCGTTATCATTAATAAAATAATTTTATTGTACACATATAAATGATTAATTTATGATCATAAATTTTAAAAGTAATTATCTAAAAAAAAAAGTATGCTTAATTAAATAGGTTCACGTAAAATGAATCAGATAAAATAGTATTTATAGTTCCATTTTTTAAATAATTTATTTGATTATCTATCAATGCGACAGCCTTTATGGTACCAAGGCTGACCCATGAGGAGTGTGAGAGAGTGATTTGACATGATCTCAAAAAGAAGCAAAAGCGCCAAGGAGTATTCTCGAATCCTGATCAAGCCCCTGAAGTTGGAAGATTACGCATTCGATTATCGAGCGGCGTAGATACACTCTTCCATTTTATACCACCTTATAATATAACTGATTCTCTTCAAACAATCGTAAATTACTTTCTTTCTCTTTCATATGCCTTCCCTAATACGTTAATTTAACCTATATATTGGATTATTAGTAGTGACTAAAAATGTTGGAATGATAACTATGTAATTAGTTTTGATATAAAATTATTGTTTGAAATTCTATATTTTATATAATTAAATAAAATTTTAATTTGTGACATCATGTAGGGTCTATTCACTCGAGTGATTAGAGGTGAAGTAGGACGAACATTACGAGGTCTCAAGATCAAATAACCAAACCATCTACTTTGAGGTATAAATGTTAAAACACGCTTAAAGGTGTCCGAGTCAGACACACATCACTAAATCTCAACTAATTTCACGAGATACTATCTCCCATCTTAACAGATATCGAGCACTTAGAAGAATAATTGTGAACTCTTGTTTAAAATCTTGAATGTATTGTATTATAGACTCAATCATGTCTTACAAGAACGTGCCTCATTCAATAATAGTAACATCCATCAGCCATTTGGCCAACAAAAAATTACAAGCAATTGCTCAAAAGAAGAAAAAATACATCCTATAAACCATACATTTCTACTCCTTTCTTAACCTTATAGCAGTATATAAGTATAGATGCTCCATTCCCCATTTATAACATCGTTCGAGGGGAATAAGCAACGATGAATTGATCCGTTATTCAACCGAAAGATTTCCATTATAGCACGCGAATTGCAACCAGTCAGGAACTAGATGCAGTGCTTTGAGCTAAAATCTTTATCAGACAACAAACTAGAAATAAGACTTTTCATTCTCTGTGCACCTGGTCCAGGTCTCAGTGAAGTTATGTTTCTTAGAATGTACTGTGAGATTGTAGCGTTGGAATCCCCGCCATCAAACCAACTACCAGGAACAAAACCATCGACTTTGCGCCCCAAGAGCTCAGAATCAATCTTGTCAAGCACTGGTTCATTCCTGCGGAATTTTCTGGCGAATGATGCATTGCTGTCAACCATGTTCTTGTAATCCTTAAGAGTTAGAACATGTGGATGTTGCTTTGGAGGGTTATCCCAGGATATGAAATGAAGGTCGTGATTCACTGTAGTGTTCAGGAACTCTTCTGCATTACATATGACAGTGTGGAAATATCCTTCAGGCGTTGAAAGGAAGTTGGCATAGTACATTAAGACTATTCTTGGAAGGTTATCCCACCCCCATAAAAGGTACTCCATAAAGGGGCGAGAGAGCATCGTCCAAGCAGAGCCTGAGGAAAAGCGATAGCATCACAATTTCAAAATCTCTGATATACTATGTATATTGATATTTGATTGTATACAGGCAAATATTTATAAACATAGGACAGAGTGCAGAGTGATCATACAGGAGCAAAAAAGACAGAACTTGACCTACAGCAACTTGTTCAAAGTAAGAAACCATATGCAAGTGCAACAGTATAGTGCTTGCCAGAAATGAGTTAGTCTGACTACCCCATTGATAAAGTATTCATTTTGATATTCAAGACGAAATGAAAATGGCAGTTTGAAATGTCTTTGCTTTCATCTTTCTGTTTTGCAGTAGGAATTCTCAAAAACCCTTGAGAAGGAGCCTGAGTACAAGGAAATCGAGGCAAATGTCTGAGTTTTTCCAAAAGCTTGCGTAATCAGGTCCAGTATGATATCTTTCCCATTTTCATACGATTTGACAATTCAGACATTCAAACAATCATGTTTTATGTTATAACACAACATAGCTCACTATAAAATGTGTTAAGAGATCATAGTGTAGTATGGGGAATCACACTTGAACTAAGCGAAAACAACAGTGTAATTGCATAAGTGGACAATCAAAAAGGACAGCTGATTCTCAGGCAGTAGTAGGAAGATAAGGTGCACCTGGTTTTGTAGTTTTAACTCTTTGTAAAAACTCTTGGTATCAAAATGTGCAGTTACTCTACAATGTTTATTCATGGACCATATCAGGGATAACCAACGAAAGGCCATTTGAAAGAGTTTTCTCATGCTTAAGGCCCCTTCAAGAAAGTTATTTGTGTGATATTCCTAGCACTTAAAATTTTACGTTGTTCGGTTTCCAAACCAATCATTTCCTCCACACCCAAAAACCCAATGTTTTTCCCCTAAAAAGTGTATTTCCCCTAACATCTATACTTCCGTGTGGCCTTATTGAGAACATGAGTCTGCCTATCATGAACTCTACCTCAAGTTAAGGAACGGAAGAGACAGTCACCCCTGAGGAAATTCCAATATATTATCATTGCATAGAGTAGAAAGGATGAAAAGGAAAATTCATGAAGTGTATTTGATACTAAGTTGTTAATTCAAGCAGATTCGAAATCCAAATACACATGACTAACTCACGGAAATCCTATGGAAGAATTGGCTGAAAACAGGACTAAAACCAACCCAAGGAACAATTTAGAGGTGCTTTGCGGGGAGGCTTTAGACGATTAAATACCGCTTTGAAAGCTGAGAATGGCGATTAAGAAAACAAAGCAGCCAAAAGAGCTTGATTGCTTCCTTTTGCATCAACACAAATGCACAAAATTCTCACCTGTGAATAGTTTAAATGCTGTTGGCATACTCCTTTTCTGCGGGATCCAGAAGAGATCTGATTTATTCAGGCTGTACAGCCCTGAATCAATTATTACAGGCCTGGCTCTGTGATATCTACAAACAGAAATATAACATTTTAGTTAGCTAAACACACTAAATCTCACCAAAAAAAAGTTGATTGATCAAATGAAAAGCTCCACATACTCCTTCCATCCAATGTCACTTGTATGCTCAATAAAATTAAGTTCTCTTGGCACGGTTGAAAAAGTATGAAGTAAATCTGCCAAACACAATATCAATGCACAGGATCATTAGAAAGACGGTAATCAATGAGCCAGTCTACACATATATGACGTTAGGCTCTTAGAAGAATTTTTAAGCAATGTCCAGTTTGGAGTAGCATAACAATAATGCTAGAAGTGTTCAACAACAATCTATTTCACACAAAAGCACCTCCCCTCCCCCACTCCCCTAAACAATCAAAACAAGGAATTCAACCAGTTAGCAATCAAGTATACCTCAACTCCAAACTAGCTGGGTGGATACATGGATATTTTGTACTTTGTAGGATCTATTTAGGTTAATTCTTCTAGTTGATCTTTACACAAATAACCGTCCGATTCACCATTTACATTTCCAAGCTAGTATACATGGATTATACGCAGTTCTACACATATTTATAAATGGAATACACATATTTCAAGTTCGGCTATTTTAGTTTAAGCAGTTGGATGGACGACTCTTTAGGTTAATTCTTCTATTTTGTATCCATTACATTCTATTGGGCTCATTTCATTCCAATAAAAAGAATGTTATTTTTAAGACAAATTATGATTCTCTAAGAACTCACTTTACACGAACATACAAGTCTTTTCTCAATGAACCAGTTCCTGAACTTGTATAAAATAGTTGCTGCTTAAAATAAATTTGTATCAATGTCAAGCCTGGATCCAATAAAGTTATTAATTTATAGTAAAGGAATTCAATTGATGTATCAATCAAGTACACCTCAATTCTAAACTAACCTTTGGCTACATGAATGTTCTGTATCCATCACATTTTATTTAGGTCCATCTCATTTGAATACTCGAAAAGATGTGTTATTTAAGAAAAATTAGGACTATCTTAATTCCCACAGTTATATTTACACAAACATACAATTCTTTTACAAACTAAAAGAGACTTCATTGAGTATCAGGCTGAAGTAAGAGCAATGACAACTAGTAAGTCTAAATTCTCTTATAGTTAAATTACTGCCGTTCATGCTGCTTCGTCTACTGGAATCCTTCACTACTATTTCGACTTTCACCACCACAAATGGCCAAACATAACTGTAACCATAATTCTAGCTACCACTTATAATAGAAGCATCTATACAGATTTGAGACTGAAGAAAACAAGTTGGCGTCACCTATCATTAAACATAAAAGAAGGCAGCAATAGCTAGCAAGTACCACAGTTATTCAATCCGAAAACCAAGAATCTCAGCAAATGAAACTGATATTCAAATATTAAGCAAATGCTCCCAACTAGTCCAGCAAAGGATACTCACTAGCAAACATACAGATAAGGGCAAAGATATAATAAACAGATTTCAAAAAATAGTTTTTAACTACATAAAGCACTAAGATTAACTAACCAATCCCCCTCACCACCTTCCATCAGCTTAATACCAGCAGCATGAAGTGCATTACTAACCATAGTAGGTCCTCTTTAAGTAACCAAATCAGATCTCACCACTACTCTCACATTCCCAACTTCAACAAACAAAGTTACCCTACAAAGTTCACCAACTCTAGTTGGCATTTCCTGTGTTGAAAATAAAAGAAATGAAGCAATAGCAAGCAAGCACCATTATTCAATCTGAAAACCAAGAATCTCAAGCAAATGAAAGTAAGATTGATATATTAAACTAATGAAGTAAGTACATGAAAAAGATATATAAGTTAATTTTAACCAAGTATAAATAGCACAATTTTCCACTTAAGGGTTCTGAACCCCCTTAGCTCTACCTACTCCACACCTGGTCCCAAGTCCCAACTAGCTCAGAAAAGGATACTCACTAGCAAACACACAGAAAAGGGCAAAGATAGATCAAAAAGATTGCAACTCGCAAGAACTAGTTTTTAACTACATACCATCTTGTGTCACCAAAGGATAATCAGAAGCACTAAGATTAATGAACCAATCCCACTCACCACCTTCCTTAAGCAAAATAGCAGCAGCATGAAGTGTATTACTAACCATAGTAGGTCCTCTATAAGTAACCAAATTAGATCTCACAACTACTCTCACATTCCCAACTTCAACAAATAAAGGTTCCCTTTTTACAAAGTTCACTAACTCTAACCTCTCATCAGCTGGTGCTTCAAGGTCTAAGTGTACAACATACTGGTTCAATGGATGGTACAAAGCCTTTAATGTCCTCTTTAAGCTCTCCCCATCTCCACTTGAACCAGAAATCAAATATGCCAATTTGGGTATTGTTGAAATAGGTCTAGTAGAAGGTATATGTAGTTTAGATTCAACAAAGATTGGAACTTTAGCTTTAATGGATGATTTCTGAAATGGGGTTTTAGTTGAAAGAGTGAAAATGATTAAGAAAAAAGATATTAAAAGTGCAATAGCTAAAGGAACCATCCATTTAGTTTTCTTTATGGTAAGTTCCATTTTCTTGATCTGCTATTTCAAGATTCTATATTGTTCATGAACACTAGTAGTAGTACTACCATTCTTGACCTTTGTTGTTGCTTTTCACTTGAAAAAATTATTTTGTCACTGTTCATAGAAAGTAGTAAAAAGGCATTTTTGTTGTATAACAAATCTTGTTTAATTCTCTAAACATGGTGATTAATGGAGTTAGTGGACCCCACCACCAACACAAGTGTAATGAAAGGAATAATCTCTCTTTTTCTAAGGCAAAGATCTATCTATGTCCATGTTATTTAATATATTCTAGTTTTTATAGAACAGAAGCAGCTTCGAATTTGAGTTTTGAATATAAAAAAAATTTTAAAATTTGAGAGTGTAATATCTAAATGAATTTGATAGTAATGAAATTTGAATTTAGTGAAAGCTTTTAAGAATCATAGGAAAAATATAACAAAATTATTTAATGAGCTATATGAAGGTGAATTGCAGTATATTTATTTTTATTGAAAAACTAAAGAGAAGTAATAATTAAGTTAAATCTTATTTAATTTTTTGAGATGTATAATATGCGAGAAAGTAATAATATTTGTTATGTTTAAGTAGCATCAAAACTTTTCTATAATAATAGTGTTTTAATTATTAAATTGAATTATTATTATTATAAAAATAGATATTATGTAACATAATATGAGTGATTACTTTAAACAAAAAGGAATGGTGCCTTCATTTATGATTTTTGACTTTTATTCAGCTCTCTCTTCTTCATTTTTGTAACACAAATTATTCAATGCACAATTAAAGGTCATAAAAACATAGCTAATTTCTTTGGTTGTTGGGATTGCCAACACCTTTTTAGACTTTATTTATAAAATATGATATGAAACATATTAGTATTATTAATTTTAGTATTTATTAAATATTTCTTCATGTCTTAATTAATGTTTGGTATAAATAAAAAATTATCTCTTATATTTATAATTTAAAAAAGGCATAATACATATATTTGTTCTTAAATTTGGTTTCAAATTTTAAGTATGATCTCAAATTTTCACAGTGCATAAATAGACACTTTAACTATTCTATTTTTTATAAATACTCACACGAATTCTACATAGCAAAACGCGTGTTATGCACGTTTTCTGCTCGAGTTATGACTATTCTTGAGGCTCACAACGGTTAAAAAAATAGAAATGACAAATATATCCTTAATGAATCCCTTTTTAGATATATCTTTATATTTCCAAATCAAAATCTAATTTCTCTTTCATCCTCTTTCAAATCAAGATTTTTTTCCCTCTCTTTAAAACGATTTGTGCTCATATTTTGTGCAAATGGCTTCTAATTTTTTTTGTCATTGTGGAAAAAGAGTTATAATGAAGATTTCTTGGTCTGCAAACAATCCAGGTCGTTGGTTTCTTGAATGTGAAGATAGTCGGATTCCATTTAAAACATATTTTTTGTTTAAATTTTAGTTCTCAAGATTTAATTTTGATAGTGAATTTGGATGCAAGTTTTTTAGGTGCTGTGAACTTGATTATACTGAACACGCTAAAATTGCTAGTTCGAAATTACAAAAGAGAATAAAAAACGTGATGAAGAAAAGGAAAAAATTAGGAGGAACAAGTAAAATTAAAAAATAACAATTTATTTTTTAAAAAATAACAATTTATTTTTAATATAATAAACAAGTAAAATTACACATATAAAGTAATATAAAAGAAAAGGCAAAGGTTGCCAATGAAGCCCAACAAATTGTTCACTAACATATACTCCTATTTTTATTTATTTCTATTTTTATTTAACATATTTATTAAGAAAATTATAATTAACATAATAAATTTATTATTTTACTTCTATTAATTAATATAACTTCAAAATCAATTCACTCATTAACGTTTTTCTATGTTTTAAAAAGATATTAACTCTCTAAATAAATTGAAGGTAATATGTAAAAACATATACTATTATTTATTTTTTTGATTTGTAAAAAAGGGACAAGTAGAAAGGAACATATGAAGTATGAATATAATCGATATAAGTTATTCTGAAATAACTAAAAGAAATTATCATTACATCAACCATATAAATAAATCTTATAATTTTCAATTTAAATTTAAATAAATATAATATAAATATAAAATATGGAACGAAAAAAAAGTTACACTTATTAGCTTTTTTGCTTCAAGTAACGTTATGCATGTGGAATTACACGTTAAATTCACTTCCTCCAAAGTTTCTCAAATTACTCAAAGTGCAACTAATAACTAGCTAAGTGTACTCTTTCTAAATAATAATATATTTTTTAATTATTATTTAGCTAATTATCTTTGTTTTATTATTTCTGTATTTTATTTATAAGTTATATAGCTTATAAATCTGAATTTGTCATTCTATTGTTGTTTGGATAATTAACTCTTTACAGAATTATATTTATCCAATTTTTAAAAAATAAAGACAAATTTTAAGCAAACGAAAAGAAAAACTTTATAAATTATACTAAATATTCATAAATTCGATTTATTCAGATTTTGATCGATAAAAAAAAGTATAGCTCTTTATCAAAAGGATGTGTTTTAAATATATACATATTACATACCAATTAATATCTCGTATTCCAAGTATTCACTTTGCTTATATTGTAATTTTTCTTACAATTATTATAGCAACATATTATATCTATATTATGACTTATGAGCACTTTTCTTCCTCTTGCAAACTAATACTAATAGAATAAACAATTTTTTTCATTTGATATCCAAAATCTTTATTAAAATTTGGATTTATGGTGAAAATTTTACATTGTTATATATTTGGTCGATAATTATTGGGTGGAGTTGTAAGTACTTTTTCATTTCTTATCATAGATCTCCAGATTGAAATCTTCATTCGAGTTATAAGTAATGATTCATTCCTTAATTAGCATAGCTCTCAAGATCGAAGTCGAAGTCTGCTAGATATAGCATCGACCCAATGTGAAATTATTCGACGTAAATTTTGTTTTTTTAACCACTCCCTAGGATGACTCCCACCCTTACTACTTGATTTTGTGACTCGAACGTTAACCCATAACCTCAAGTTTGGAGATGAATGTCGTATTTACTATTTGAACAACTCTCTCACGTTGATTTGAATTTATGTTAGATGCTCCTAGCATAATTTGTTTTCTCTGAAATTCTTTTCATCCTAGAAAATGCAAAACCTTTTTATTTTATGTATTAATCTAAAATTTGATTATCACTTTGATTTTTATTAAATCGACAAAATTGCAATACAAAAGGAGATTATGTGGAACATAAGTCTATACTATTTAAGTCGAATTTCAAAGGTTTTTCTTTTTTTAACAAAAATACAACATGTGTATTTATTTTGCCAAACTTTTATTATTAGTTTAATTATTTTGTGAGATTGACAAAAAATAAACTTTCTCACTTTACTATTGTTAACTTTTAATGAGTTTGTATTATCAAAAAATAAATATTTCACCTTTTCTTTAAGTAATAATTCATCTATTCTTTCCATTTGAAACTATACCCATAAACATAAATGATAAATAGAAAAAAAACACAAAATAAAAATAATAAATAGTTCGATTTCAAATTCAACGATTTATTAACTTACAGATTAAATATTACACAATTCAATCCGTCTCCACAAACTTTTCAGTTGTTTTGTTATAAATAAAAACTTTTTTAGTAAAAATAATTTTTTGTTTATTAAAATTTCTTTGAATCGATTGGCGAAAAAGTCAAAATTGTTAGTTGTCCATGCCAAACTTGGAAATATGATTGTTATACAAGTACTCCTAGTATGAGAATTAGGATTTAAATTTGTAAGTTAGTGGTCCATATAATTATTAATTGCATTCATAAATTCTTTAAAGTAATGAGTGCAAACATTGTACTATAATAAAGACATATTTCTTTTTAGAAAATTATTAATCCATGCATTAATTCAAGTCTAAAGTGGCCACACATTATAAAATTAGTTTCAAAATTTGTCACTAATCTATGCTAAATCATACAGAATTAACATAATTTCATAATAATATATCGCTAAATAGAATTAGCTATGAAATAAAATTGATGTCTCTATTGACGTAAGTTTTAAGAAAGTAGTAAAATATAATTTGTGCGTTGCGATTTTTTTTAAGGTCAGCAAATATTTCCAATCATTTTAAGTGCTAGAAAATAAAAATTAAAACTTACTAAATTGAAGGACAAAAATTAAAAACTACCTCAAAATAGGGGTATACATGCACGTGAATGATCCGTTAAAGCACTTTTTCAAAATGGAAATTCAACTCCAAATTGAATTTAACTAAAAAACTTGAATACGCCATCAAATTTTTAAATAAAAAACTTCATATATATAATCTGTTTATATCATTTTTATTTGAGAAAAAAAATTATTTATGCCATTTTTATTTGAAAAAAAACTTATTTATGCTATTATTTATTGGCCGAAACAAAGACCAGCCAAACTTTTAATAAATAAAATAAATATATCATTTTTCAAAGTTTGATGAGATATTTAAACTTTTTCTATTTTCTAAAGAAGACTTAATTAACAACATAGTCTGATCTTAATTGACCATATGTAAAAAAAATAATTTTACAAAATCAAAACTATTTTGAGTTATCAAATAATGATATCGATAAACATTTTAACCAAACAAAAAAATAACATAAGTGAGTCTTCTCCTAGAACTTCATGTTTTAAATTTATAAGCCAACACTAATTTTGAATATAAGCAAAAAATTATTTTTTCTTCTCAAATTATATAATCACTTTGACTTTTTCTATTAAAAGTCTTATTTTCTTTTTGAGACAAAATAATAATCCTAGCCATTTAATCAATTTGACCCAAAAAATAAATTTGGTTTTCTCAACCAAATATACTATTACAATATTACCCCTAAAACATATTAAATCCAAAATAAAATTAATTAATTTTTTTTTAGTATATAGTATTAATATAATGAAGATTTAAATTAATTACCAAGTCAAAGAAACAAAATGAGATTCAGTTTCACCTCCCTTAACAATCTTACACATAAGCATATAAACTCTCTCCACTCTTTTCTTGTTTGTCCTGTAACGCCTCCTCTTTCTCCTCCTAAAATTCTCTCTTTTTTCCCCAAATTCCCTTTCATTGATCCAAAAAGAATTGTGGGTGTTTCTTGATTTTGCTTGATTTTGAGTTATTGAGTTGAAAAAATGGGAAAAGGTGGAAACTTGAGTGAAGGGGTTGTGAAAAAAATCTTGCTTTCATACACTTATGTTGCAATTTGGATCTTCCTATCTTTTACTGTGATTGTGTACAACAAGTATATCTTGGATCGTAAGTTGTACAATTGGCCTTACCCAATTTCACTAACAATTATTCATATGGCTTTTTGTTCTTCATTGGCTTATCTTCTTGTTCGTGTGTTTAAACTTGTTGAGCCTGTGACAATGACAATGGATCTTTATTGCAAATCTGTGGTACCCATTGGTTTACTTTATGCGTTTTCACTGTGGTTGTCGAATTCTGCTTATATTTATCTGTCTGTATCGTTTATTCAAATGCTTAAAGCTTTGATGCCTGTTGCTGTGTATTCAATTGGGGTTCTGTTTAAGAAAGATACTTTTAAATCTGATACAATGGGGAATATGGTGTCGATTTCGATTGGGGTTGCGATTGCTGCTTATGGAGAAGCTAAATTTGATACATGGGGTGTGATGTTACAGTTAGGTGCTGTAGCTTTTGAGGCTACAAGATTGGTTATGATTCAGATTCTGTTGACATCAAAGGGTATTACGTTTAATCCGATTACTTCGTTGTATTACGTTGCGCCTTGCTGTTTGGTTTTCTTGTTCATTCCATGGATTTTTGTGGAATATCCATTGTTGAAGGATACATCTAGTTTCCATTTTGATTGGGTCATCTTTGGTACTAATTCTTTCTGCGCGTTTGCTCTGAATCTTGCTGTGTTTTTGCTTGTGGGAAAGACATCTGCTTTGACTATGAATGTTGCTGGCGTGGTTAAGGATTGGTTGTTAATTGCCTTTTCCTGGTCCGTGATTAAGGATACTGTCACTCCTGTCAATTTGGTTGGATATGGATTGGCTTTCTTAGGTGTGGCGTATTACAACCACGCCAAATTGCAGGCTCTTAAGGCGAATGAAGCACAGAAGAAGGCTTCACAGGCTGCTGATGAGGAGGCTGGAAGATTGTTGGAGGAAAGAGAAGGGGAGAATGGTGCTAAGAAGAATGAGTCTCAGGGTTGAGTTGTTTCTTCGTTTACTTCGTATTATCCATAGGTAGAATGACATTGAGAGATGAAACCTGAAGATCAGATTATAACGTCCTTGTGCGGATGATTTAGCTTCTGTTTTTTTAGGTATAAATCATTTACATTATCTGTTTTGAGGATCTTATAATAGTTTTATTGCTCGTATTACCTTACCAGATCGTGCATGTACTTGAGCATGACTCGAGGCAATTTATGTTTATTTTGACAGAACAGTAATACTAGAAGAGCTTTTACTAATGAAAGTAACTGATGCAGCTAAATATGTCTTTGTTTCCCTTTTCTTGAAATACTTCATTTGTCTTTAACATCATTGCCTTTAAAGCTTTCCCTTTGAAGTGTTCAACATGTTGAAGTATCGATAGACATAGATGAACCGATGATGTTGGTTGTCTTCGACATGTTCAAATAGTTGACCTGAAATTTGGTAAGATCCAGTCTTGTTGATGTTACTATATTGAATAAACCATATTGTTGTACGACAGATCGATAGATGACATGGTTTTCTTTGGTGTTTTCTTTGAGTCAGAACGTATCTATAAGGTAGTTTGGTAGGTGACATAATTCATATGAGTACAACATGATGCTTTCTGTAGTTCACTTAGCTTGGCCATCCTTTAGAAAGGATGCTTGGTTACTCTTTCGCGCTGTTTGTTTAGCTTGAATACGAGTTAATGCTGCCAATTTTTCCGAGTTTGATAGAAATGTTTGTCGATTTTTTCTCCGAAAGTCTGCCTCCTTGGTTGATTATAGAATAGGCTTGAATTTCTGGACTTAGAAGCAACTCTTTCAGGATGAAGTGATGAGGAATGGAAGTATATGCTTTTCTAAGTAATGTTAGTATTGTGTAGGATATTGATTGCAGATGGGAGATAAAGGAACTAGAGCTACTAATAAGTCATTGTAAACTACCAATAACAACATACTCGGTGTAATCACACAAGTAGGGTATGAGAAAGATAGGATATTCGCAAACCTTACTTTTACCTTTGTGGGTTAAAGAGACTGTTTCCGATAGACGTTCGGCTCAGAAACAGGATTATAAGAAAAATAAGACAAGCCAATGGAGCAACAAATAGTAATAAACAATAAAGAACAAAGGAACTATGTTATTCCCAAATAATATCATATCATATTATGCTGAAAGTGGGAAGCTCCGAACTTAAAAGTTGAATTACTATTTTCTCCCATGCTAAATTATAATCTAATTAAAAAGTAAATTTAATTTAATATTAAATTTTATTTATATAATGTAGAATTAAAAATCCAACCCTTTGATTTCTTAGTTTAGTATATCGTTGCAAATTCCCTAAGTTTTTTCTTAATTAATGCAAATTTTATTCACCTATAAAAAGACCTTTTCTTTCTTACTCCAATGTTTTTGAATATCTAACTTTAAAATTGAATTACCATTTAATTTGTCTCTACATATTTATTAGCTAAAAATGTTATAAACCTAACTAAACTAAATAGAATAAGAAAACACATATTCAATTACTTCTTGAAGACAAGAAATTAAAGTAGATACATGTAAAATATTTATTTTAATATTATTTGACTTTTCAAAATTTTATGTGACTTTTCATATACTACAATTTTTATCCTATAAATTTAACTCTTCCCGAAAAATGTCTTATGTGGTACTCCTACAATCCTTATATGTAGGACCTCTAAATTGGTGAAATAATGTCATAATTTGTGAGATCTCCCTTATGCAGTCATGAGGAAAGATAATAATTCAATTATTGAAACATGGTCTTTATTTCTACTTATATAGTTGAATTGTTGCTTTGTTTATAACTTGCTTTTAGTTTAGAATTTCTTTTTGTGTTAAAAAACAAATTGATTGTTACATTAGATTTTGTTATAATTTTCATTATCAAGACAATATCGAAAAGGAATAATTAATTGTCTTGCTTATGTGTTTCTTTTTTATTCTTTGTATTTGTACATCACCTTTAAGAATGGATTTGATAGAATGGTTACTCTTTCTTTTTATTATTTAAAGTTTAAATATATAGCATTAGATTAATGGTAGATTCGATTAACATATCATCTTTGAATTTCACTGAGGCGATTGCATTACCTAATGGCCTTGAGCTTGTCCAGCAATTATCAGTGTCATCATTTCTCCTCCATTATTCATTTTTTCCACTGATGATAAAAAATAGGAGGGAATATCTGAAAAAGTCTTTAGCGAGGAGCCCATTCCTCTCGTTCTTACAGAAAACATAAGACAAAACAAATCATGAGAATATAATGGAGCCCATCCCTCTCGTTCTTACAGAAGACGTAAGGGGGAACACGAGGATACAAAGCAAAGCAACAATAGATAGTAATAACCAATATTGAAGGTTTAAAAAACAATATGATTGCTAAGTAATATTAATACAAAGGAGAAACAAAGAGGAGGTTAGCTCTCTGCCTCTTTACACATGAAGTGCGATAACAGTTGACTACTTACTACTCTTCAATCATAATCATCGTCTACTGTATTTTTTTATATAGGGTAATATCCTCGATAAGTTGAGGTTGTGATGTGATGTAATGTGTCCCTTTTGATCACCTCCCATTCATATTTTTCTTTAACCTAATTCAACCCTTTTGTAACTTCTATTATAGCAAAATTTAGAAAGACTTTATCCACAATGAAAGATTTGAAATTTTTTAAAATTGAGACACAATGTTTATTATTTACAACCATAGGTAGCAGAAAATTTGTGGTAGACACAGTTCACAAAAGTCAAATTATATTGGTTTATAATTGATCAGGATATTTTAGATTGTGTTTACCTAATTATTCTGTACGTGTTTTAGAAAATAAACTTTAGGTCACAACTAAACTAGTTCATACCGTGAATTTTTTTTAAGATTATATGATGATACGAATAGACGATATATCATTTCCTCAACCAATTATATTTATCATAAACTAATCACGTTATATATAGAGTGGGGTAATGCCAATGTTGAGCACTAACCCAAAATATTAATAAAATTTTTAACTTCGTTATTAATAATACAGTTAAAGCTTCACTGTAGATTTTTTTTAAAAAAAATTAGAATTTGACACAAACGTGAGTAGTTTCGATCAAATGAGAATTTATGTCTAAAATTTGAGGCGATTTAAAAGAGATTTTAAGTCGGTCACAATTAATTGGTTAATGTTTATTTTATGTATAGTCAAATTATCGATTTCAATTTTTCATATATAATTAAATTATATTCGGCCTTTTAAAGTGTATTATAATATATAAATAATTTATGTTTTTATGATATTTAATTATTTTTTTACATATGAATAAAAATATGACTATTTATATTATAGATTAATTACTTTATTCTATATCTAATAAGGCTAACACATTAATACCTAAGGTCAGCAATGACCCAAAATATTAATAATACAGTTGAACTCCTAACTGTAGGCTATTTTTTTTTCTATATATATAAGAGAGTATTAAAAGTTGAGCATATTACTTTTTTTTTTCTTCAAATTCCATTATAAATTTCTTCTTTTTCAGTCTACCAAACTTGGTGAGTTTTCTCTATCTCTCTATGCGTGTTAATTTTTTAATTAAAAAAATAATAATACTTTTGTGATCACTTTTATCTTTTCTTTGCATGAAATTTTGTTGAAATCTTTAGAGCATCTATCACGTCATCCTATTGATAAAAAAAGTGAGAAATATGAAAAATAATTTCAATCTACATGTAGGATAAAATTTAATAATTTTAACTCAAAATTTGTATTTGTATTAAAAAGAATCTGTTACTTTTTCTATTTTAATTGTTAAAATTTAATCATAATCTTTTTTTCATATACCTTAAATATTCAATCATGTAATTTATAATATCGTTTACGTAGTTTTTAAATATATAAGTTTAATTTTAAAAAAAACATAAAAATTTTATATTTTAAATATTGCTTAAATTTAAATTGTTTGACTCTTAAAATTTAATATATATATATATATATATATATATTAAGATAGAAGAGTAATATTTGTGAATAATTTATTAAGAACACAATAAGTAGAAGAAAAGAAAGTGATGTGAAATTTATAAACTAAAAAGGGAGAATCCATCGGCGATCATCTAAATTTGACATAATTTTTTACTTAGATATTTTAACTAAATTTTGTTTATTTTAGACATTGCGTGTCATGTATAACTGTGTCATTTTGATACTTTTTCGATAATCTGCCAAATTTTTAGATGTATATAATAACGTGTCAAAATGACGAATTAAATAAAGATATGTGACATATATAAAAAAAATTAATTATTAAATGATGAATTTTGAGTATGAAAAAAACTAACAAATGACTCATTGACATGTGGAATTTCATTAACCAAATAATTAAAAAAAAACACTTTTCATAAAAAGAAAATTATATGCACACCCCCACCCCCTGCCCCTTCCTCATCAAATGTGTCAAAAGAAGTATTTTTTTTGTCATTTTATGAATGTTGTGAGATAAGAACGTTTTTATTCTAATAAATCGATATTTGAATGCTTGATTTGATGAGTGTGATAATGTATTTGCTTGATCTTTTTCGGGTTTTTTTCTCCTTTTTCGCTGGATTTTTGGGTCAATGCAAGTAAAAAACTGTTGCTTTAGTACATAAATACGGAGTCTCAATCTTTCTACTAAAACTTATATAGCTTATCTATTTGAGGACATACACGAGGTGTTTAAAATGAACGAAACTTAGTTAAGGTGTCTAAGTAAAAATTAGTGCCAACTTTAGAAGGTCACCGATGGGTTTGGCCTAAAAAATTACGACCTTTGTCTATATATCTATATATTACATAATCTTGGATGAAAAATGCTCAACTGATCATCGATCTTTTAACTTAACAAGATGTGGAAGTTGAAGATTGCAAAAGGACAAGATGATCGATACTTGTATAGTACAAATAACTATATTGGACGACAAATATGGGAGTTCGATCCAAATGCTGGAACAATAGAAGAACAAGCCAAAATCGAAGAGGCACGTCAACATTATTGGAACAATCGTTACAAAGTTAAGCCTAATAGTGATCTTCTTTGGAGAATGCAGGTCAGTAACTATAAGGGTCGTCTCGATCATAAGGTCACAAATTTTCGATCATTTTTGGTTGATGTTTTGTCATGTGTAGGCTATAAAGTTTGGGACAAATATTTGATTTTTTAAAAATGATTTGTATCTATAAATTATAAAAATTATTAAAAACACCTATAAATTTGTATTATGAAATAAATTGATTTAAACGTAGTCGAGACGTTGATTGAGTGTCTTATGTATGTTATAGCTTTAACTGAGTGGAAAGTTAAAATATACGCCTAAATTATTTCAAAGTCTAATTTTTCGAATTCTATATCTAACTTATATACATTTATATTAGAAAAATGAATGTTATAACTTTTTCTTATTGAGATATTGCCCTTATACATATTAAAAGAAATATAACCAATTCTTTGATACAACAAAGTCCTTGTAAGAAGCACAAGTGTCTTAAATAAATATTTTGAAGAATGTCAAAGTGTCAAGAGGCATAGAACAGGTTGTGTGTCCAAAGATTTTCGTATGCTATAGTCCATGGATTTTTGATGATTCAAAATTTTGCCGTGTTTTTTATCTAAATTTTTCATGGACGTTCGTTAGGACCTTAGTAATAGAGCTAGTGGTCTCGACGAGCAAATCGACCCACTTTCAAGTTCAAACGAGCCCCAAAGCAGGTAAACCCCCATTTTGTCGATTTCGTGTGTTATAGTTAATGAATTTTTGGTGATTCGAAATTTCATCGTGTTTTTCTTTAAAATTTTCATGGACGTCCGTTAAGACCTTAGTAATAGAGTTAGTTGGTCCCGACGGGCAAATCGGCCCATTTTCAAATTCAAACGACAAGGTTGAGTTGAACAAACTCAAGGACTTTGTGGAGTTTCTGATCTATTTCATCAGATTTGCACACTTACATTGACAGAAAATCAAAACACGATCAGGAGGTTTGAGAGAGTTTTTGATATTAACTTGGAGAGTGGTGCGAGTTGAGTGAAAAGTTGTAAGATTGTATAACAAGAGTCTTTATTTACAATGGAGTGTTGTGAGTAGGTTTCGTTTAACAAATTTGAAGTACTTAAACAACTATAGAAGACTTAAACCTTGGTGTTTTGGTTTGGATAACTAGAAATTAGAGTTTATAATTACGCAGTGATATTTGTGCAGTTTTTGAGAGAGAAGAATTTCAAACAGAGAATTGGAGCAGTAAAAGTAGAAGAAGGAGAAGAAATTAGCCATGAAATTGCTACAATTGCATTGCGTAGAGCTGTTCATTTCTTCTCAGCTTTACAGGCTACTGATGGACATTGGCCTGCTGAAAATGCCGGACTTCTCTTCTTTCTTCCACCTCTCGTAAGTTTTTTTTCATTTGAATTCGTAAACTTCTTTTGATAAAATGGGTGAACTAAAGCCAAAATTGTTTCAGGTTATGTGTATGTATATCACTGGGCATCTTAATACTGTATTTCCAGCTGAACATCGAAAGGAAATTCTTCGTTATATATACTGTCACCAGGTATATGATTTAATGCATCAAATTCTTGGAATTTATGTTTTAAGTTGCCAGCATAATACATAAACGTGCTCTTTTAGTTCGGTTTTAGCTGAGCTTAGTGCGGCGAGTATGATATAAAGTTGAATAAGTATACAAACATTCTACGTGACAATTCGCATGACATATACTCGAACTAATGTGTGGCGTTCTACATGTATTATGGCACGTAGGATGTTTGTGTCCACTTGTTTGGTTTTATACAAGTTTAAGTGTCTATTTGTACACACTCAAAGTTGGAGGGCGTATATATCAGCTGATGCCAAGTTAAAATGCATATTTCTGTATTATGTCTTAAAAAAAAAGCTCTGAGTTACTGTGGAATTCTGTATTATTCAGAATGAAGATGGCGGATGGGGGTTGCATATAGAAGGTCACAGTACAATGTTTTGTACAGCTCTGAGTTATATTTGCATGAGGATCCTTGGAGAAGGACCAGACGGTGGCGAAAGAAATGCGTGTGCTAGAGCGAGGAAATGGATTCTTGATCATGGTAGCGTTACTGCGATTCCTTCTTCGGGGAAAATATGGCTCTCGGTATGATTAATTATCCTAGTAACTTTTTTAGAAGAATATATATACTATAGTAGGATTTAAGTTATATACACTTGTAGTGTACAAAATTTTTACAGTATCAATGTGTAATGTTTATTAATCTGTTTGAGTTTGATGGATTCAACGTTTAGGTTCTTATCATTGAACACATTGCATTTTTGAATTTATAGGTTCAAAACTTAGTAGTTTGCTTAAATTCTAGGGTCAAGAACATTAGGCTTGTTGAACTTATTCGTTATTTACTACATACATTCCTCTGCAATTATGGTGGATGGTTGGTTAATTGACGTTATCATTTAGATGACTTGATTCTGCGAAAGACACTATCTTTAAGGATATTTCACCCGGTACAACTGTATCACATATTCACAAGTTCTTCCGGTATAAAACTAGGAGCCAACAATATTGCTAATAAATCTTCCTTCTTATTCGTTCAGATTCTTGGAGCTTTTGAGTGGTTAGGAACCAATCCAATTCCTCCCGAGTTTTATATTCTTCCTTCTTTTCTTCCAATGCATCCAGGTAGGCCAATTTTTTTTATTGCTTTATGCATACACATCCTAAAATTGTCAGTTCATTTTGTTGTAAATATTAATTTTGAAGATTTGCTATGCAATGTTTTCTGGTTGTTTCTATCCTCTGTTAGTGTCGATATATTGATCTTCCAAGTATTTTGACTCTTAATTTAAATGTAGCAAAAATGTGGTGTTACAGTCGAATATTTTACATGCCACTGTCTTATCTCTATGGTAAGAGATTTGTTGGTCCAATCACACCTCTCATTTTGCAATTGAGGGAAGAGTTATATGATCAACCATACAATGAAATCAACTGGAAAAGAGTACGCCATCTATGTGCAAAGGTATGACTATCGAGGGTCGTTTGATTACTGATATTAGAAAAATAATCTCGACATAAATTTCGATATAATTTCTCCCTCTAAAACTTTGTCTACGGATCAAATGAGTCCCTAGTGTTGAAGTTAGTATAGATATCATACTATTTTCTACATATGATCAAAGACAAACAAACTTGTTGCTGCAGGAGGATCTCTATTACCCTCATCCACTGGTTCAGGACTTGATGTGGGACACTCTCTACTTTTTTTACGAGCCTTTATTGACTCGTTGGCCTTTCAACAAGCTGAGAAATAAAGCTCTTGAGGTTACGATGAAACATCTTCATTATGAAGACGAGAATAGTCGATACATCACTGTTCAATGTGTCAATAAAGTACGACAACTTTTTCATTTTTGATAGATTACAAAATACCTGCATTTTCTTAACAACTTCAATCGTTTGACACTTATGTTACACGTGTATGGTGTAGGTACTGTGTATGCTTGCTTGTTGGGTTGAGGATCCAAACGGCAGTTATTTCAAAAAACATCTTGCTCGGGTTCCAGATTATTTATGGGTAGCTGAAGATGGGATGAAAATGCAGGTTGGTAGATATAAATTATTTTCTATAAGCAAGGACATTATACTATTCCACGAACCACAATGATTTACGAAATAGGATCTCTTTTACACGTAATACATGTTTGTAAAATAGAAGGCTAGCTCCTTTTCCTATTGTGAAGTGATGCAAACAACTGTTACTGAAATTGCGGAGTTTTGTTGTTGAATTGCAGAATAGCGGTAGTCAATCATGGGATACTAGTTTTGCTATTCAAGCACTATTGGCCAGTGAGATGAACGATGAGATATCAGATACTCTTAGAAAAGGACACGACTTCATAAAAAAATCTCAGGTTGTATGTTAAATCATGAGCATAACTGCTCTTTCAAGATCTTATTAATGTAAGTGACTTCTCGCTAGGTAAAGGATAATCCTTCTGGTGATTTTAGAGGGATGTATCGGCATATTTCAAAAGGATCGTGGACTTTTTCAGATCAAGATTATGGATGGCAGTCATCTGATACCACTGCCGAAGCATTAAGGGTATCTAACTACTCAATGAAATAAGATTCCAACTTCTTGTAATTACTGAAAAGAAGTAAGATGATAATGCTAATAGATTTGCCTGATGACTTGTTAATTCTGTTTCACTAGTGCTGCCTTTTTTTCTCTACAATGCCATCTAAATTAGTTGGTGAGGCAATGGAACCTGCACGACTGTATGACTCGGTGAACGTTATTCTTTCCTTACAGGTAAAAAAAATGAGAAATGTACATGTTGAGTGCATTTTAATACATGACTTATATCTTACGCCGAATAGAAAATCCAATACATGACTACCTGCGTTATTAAATTCATCTTTTCTAAATTTAGTCACTCGTCATTTGGCTCATTTCTAGACTCTAGTTATATCAAATTCCATTTTAAATAAAATTGCAGAGCAAAAATGGCGGTTTAGCAGCATGGGAGCCTGCAGGGACCTCAAAGTATTTGGAGGTAAGTAAAATAATTGTTTTGGTTTGAGATTCATTTAATGGTTGTTAACAACAGTCAACTTCTTCTATAGTAATCCAAAATCTAAAAATTTAACTTTCTTGTTATGTTATATTCCAGTTGCTCAATCCTACTGAAATATTTGAGGACGTCGTCATCGAGCATGAGTAACATTTTGTCCCTAGTTTCTCCATTCCCCATAAGCCTTTTCCCCATTGTTAGGCTCCATTTCACAGCTTCACACTGATTACATGTCAATCCAGGTATGTTGAGTGCACTGGCTCATCAATACAAGCACTTGTTCATTTTAAGAAGCTATACCCTGGACACCGAACCACGGAGATCGACAATTTCATTGATAATGCTGTTAAATATATTGAAAATGTACAGAGGCCTGATGGTTCATGGTATATGATATTTCTCTTGCGAGTCCTTGAACTTTCTGCTCTATCAATGCATATGATATGATTAACTATGTCAACAGGTATGGTTTCTGGGGTGTGTGCTTTACATATGCTTCCTGGTTTGCTCTTGGAGGGCTTGCTGCAGCAGGCAAGAGTTACAGCAACTCTGCAGCTGTTCGTAAAGGCGTTGACTTTCTGCTACAAAGACAAAGGTCTGATGGTGGTTGGGGAGAAAGCTACCATTCTTGTCCCGACAAGGTAATGTAAAAGAAACAAAAGCCACGTAAAACAACAATAACTACAGCAATGTCTCAATTTGTGCATTGTAAGGTCAGTTATATGCTATGTTTCTCCGTACTTCACTTGGTGCGCATCACATTCTCCAAAAAGTAGTGCATTCTTGGACAATCTGCAACAACACTTTTGGGGAGTCCTTGCAACATAGTAGGTTATATGAACTCTGCACATGCATCCTACTACATTTGGAATCGTTTCATTCCAATACTGAATATTTTAAGTCTTTAAGTTTTCTATTGGCATGCATATAAATTTACCGCTAAAGAAGCGTATGAAGATGACTGGAAAATATAACGATGATTTAGCTTTGTATTTGATCAAACAGGTATATAGAGAGCTTGAAACAGAACACTCGAATCTTGTACAAACTGCATGGGCATTGATGGGATTGATTCACTCTGGCCAGGTGAATTCCTTGTTACTAGTAGTAAAAGCATAATACATAAAGAAACACTCAAACTCGGTCTCAGTTGTCAAGTAAGCACTACAACTATGTGAGTGCACATCTACGCACTTCAACTCGTTTCCATTGTGTCATTTGAACACTTCAACTTATAAAATGATCATCTAGACACGTCGAGAATATATGTACCATGTCAGTGTCGGAGTGACAATGAGTCACAATACTTTCCTATTTGGACAGGCTGATAGAGATCCAAAACCCCTCCACCGTGCGGCAAGGCTTTTGATTAATTCTCAGATGGAAGATGGTGACTTCCCACAACAGGTAATTGCACTGTAATTTACAAGATAATCATAGGAGAAGATTCTTCAACTGTTAAAAGAACATGCTGTTAAGTATTGGATGAAATAGACTGGGAAAAAACGAAACAACCATAGATGATTCATTTAGTCGAATTGGTCATATTTGATTGATATTGATTAGTCGAGAAAAGCTCAAATATGTCATGGAACTTTCAGTGAAGAGTGGCGGGAATGTGGACTTTGTGTCCCAATGATGACATAAACAAAGCCTAACTATTAACCTATGGCATGACTGAGCCATTTCTGAAAGTTCGATAACATGCACTGAGCTTTTTTCGTCGATTAGTTAAATATGAAGAAGTTTTTAATCTGACTTCATAAATATGTGCAGGAAATAACTGGAGCTTTCATGAAGAATTGCATGTTGCACTATGCAACATTTAGAAATATATTTCCATTGTGGGGTTTGGCTGAATACCGCAAAAATGTTTCAGTATCATTAAAAAACAGCTAAAGATATATTACATTAGTTATATCTTAAGAAATAAATAAGGGAAAATGTACAAGTACAACCTCAATCTATGTCCGAAATTTCAGAGACACACTTATATTATTTTAAGGTCCTATTTTCCCCCTGAACTTATTTTATATGCAATTTTCTATCCCTTTTCGGCTTACGTGATACTAGCTTGAAAAAAAAATCAACCATAGTTGGACCCACAAGATAGTGCCACGTATGCCGAAAAGGTAATAAAATAAGTTCAGGAGGTAATAGTATCTTAGTATAGTATAAGTGTATCTCTGAAATTTCGGACATAGATTGAGGGACTACTTGTGCATTATCCCAATAAATAATGAAGTTTATTGTTTCTTGTGTTAATGCAAGTGTCATGTAACAATGTCCAAAATCATAGCCTAAACTGTTGTTAAATATTTATAATATGTGAATAATGAAAATTACAAAAAAAAAAAAAAGCATGTTAAAAAAATATTTTTCGAAAAATATTTTTTTTTCATAAATCAAACAATAAAATAAAAAATTCGGAAATGAGCGACCAAAAAAGCAATTTTTTAATTTATTTTTGTGTTGACAAAAAAAAAAGAACAAGAAATTGCTAAAGAAAAAACAGTTCTTTATTTGTCCACTATATTAAGAATACATTTTATTTTTCACTTTTAGCATATCAAACTTTTTTTCTTCCACATTTTTTCCTAGTTACTTATTCCAAATCATTTTTCAAGATGTATGATTATATATTCATTAATTTAAATATTGGGGTAGATATACTTATATTAAGAGGCCTACAAAAATTAAAATGAACAAATAAAAACGATCAAAATAAATTACAAACATACATGGGGCCCACATTTGCGAAGTAACATGTTTTGTTGCTATATGTGTATAAGCAAGCAAGTATTGACAGAGTGCTAGGGGCCTATATTCACATACTAGATATGAAAAGATTCGTTAACGAATTTAATATTACGGTCTTTAATTGTATTTATACGTGATTAATTATATTTTTAAATAATAAATTAATTTATAATATTTTCAGGTTTAACACAACATAGAGTGATATGGCCATTAAAAACTTATATGTAATTTAATTAAGTTGCCACAAACTAACATTAGAAGAGTTTAATATTTATTTTAGAGAAAATACATAATTATTCTATCAAACTTACACACCTTAAAATCGATGAAAAACCGACACATGACAACGTCAAACCAAATTGAAAAAGAGACCCACATTTCTTCTTCCCTAAAACACCAATATTGACGGTTATTGAGAGCTTTTCCCAACAACAAAAGTTGGTTCTTTATTACGCGAAATAACTTTTTTTATTGTATACTCTATCATCAAGTTTTAATAACCCATCTTAAGGTCTTTTATTAGAAAAATTCACTTAACAATGACATAATACTTGGCCAATGTAACACCTAATTTACCTGTTATCAAAGAAATTTAAACCTATTTTCGTTAATGTAGTTTCCCAAGATAAAAAATCTCAAAGAATTTACTCGTATAAATTCAGAAAAAAAGTAAAATTTACTTATAGGACTCAAAGCTAATCTTGACTTGGGAATAGAAACAAAGCTAAAAAGGACTAAACTATATCTTTGGAGGAAAAAAATTGAAATCAAACACCAAATAAACAAGTAATTAAAAAAAATATTATTTCATTTGGGTGAAACACATGCACGGGTTATGAAATTGCAAATATTTTTAAAATGGTGTATTTAGAATTGTTGCAACTCATTTGACGGGGAAATAGAATTCTCACAAACTTTAGATCTCTACTTAAAAAAGGATACAATCGTACAAATTTAATGGAATAATTATGCATTTTCTCTTTATTTTAACATTATATCACACACAAATATTGAATTAAATAATATTATGTGTTGGATATGAGATATGTTACATTCTTTAATTTTATTAGCCTCATCAACAAGTCGTAAACTTCCGGGATGTTTCGATTCGGACAGATGTACATAATTAAATGAGACGACATACTTTATATTGTTAGCATAATTATAGCTAATAGACGTTTGTGAACATGCGCATACTCTCCAAATCTAAACAAAAAAATGTCTAATATGGATACTTTATCGTGTGTTTGGATGTTCACTTGGAACAAGTCGTAATTCGAATATCAAAATAAAATTTATCGGTGAATTTAATACGCTATTTATATATTAAGTCAAATAATTAATTCATCTTATTAAATAATAATAAAATACCATTTTTCCCTAACATGCAACAATATTTCTATTTAATTTTTTGTATATCACAAAATAATAAAATTCCGAAAAAAAACTACGTTTATGATGTCTATCTTAAAAGATGAAAATAAAATTTATAAAATAATATTTTAACTTTGTTAGCATGATAAATATTATTTTAAATTTTGATAGTGATTAGATATTTGTGTCATTAATGTCTCCAGTGAAAAATCATTACATGTAATTTCAAATCATAAATTACATTTGTAAGCTTTCTATCTACATTTTATCGATAAAGTCTTTTAGTAAACGTTTTTTTTTTTTAAAATGAATTATAGTTATATATAAAATAAGTTTGAAATTTTATTTTTATTTAATCAAATAAAAAGAAAGTATTACTATTACATTTGATTGAACATAAAACTTGTGGAAATTTATTTTTGTCAATTATAGTATGTTCATGACATTTACTGAAGCTTGAATGACAAATATTGTCCACAAATTATGAATGAAATGATAAGGACTTGACATTTTAAATTTAGGATAATAAAATTAAAATGATATAAAGAGAACTCATCGTACAATATAATAAATTAATAATAATGACATACAACCAACAACTAAAACTTTATTTATTTATTTTTTTATATAAATAATTGCATAGATCACTCATTTTTTTGGCACAAACATAATTTATAATTTCTTCTCTTTCAGCCTACTAAACTTGGTGAGTTTTTACTCTCTTTCATTTTTTTTTAAGAAAACATTTTTGTGATCACTTCATCTTTAGTATTTTGCTTGATATATTATTGAACATTTAGAGAGAGATATTTCGTAGGTAAGTATTTATTACTTTCAATTTTAAGATTGTAAATTTTATATTAGAGAAAGTGCATTAAATCATTTATGAACTTGACAGCAAAATATATTTTACTATTTTAACTATAGTCATAATACATAAATATGTTCCTTTAACTTAGCTTCAAATCACATTTATGCCTTTCAACTTTGGATGTGCACAAATAGATATTTAAATTTGTATAAAATTAAACAAATAGACACACATGTTCTGCATGTCATTTTTTGTCCTACGTGTATTTTGCCATGTAGGACTCACGTATTTATTTATTTAAAAGTTGGATAATTAAAATGTCTGTTTTTGCATTATGAAAGTTAGAGGTCAAAGTTAAAATTTAAAATTAAGTTTAACTCATCGTACGATATAATAAATTAATAATAGTGACATACATGATACAATTAACTACTAAAAATCCTAATTTTTTTTTATAAAAAAAAATCCATATAATTGTTTACAAGAATATTCAATTGATCATCTTTGGTTATTGTATCTAACTATGGTCCTTTAGATAATTAAATTCACATAAATTACCTATGAAATTCTCATTGATATCACTAAATTGTTATCCTTTTGTAAGTAGAAGAAGATATTAAAAAGATGTGGAAGTTGAAGATTGCAAAAGGACAAGATGATCGATACTTGTATAGTACAAATAACTATATTGGACGACAAATATGGGAGTTCGATCCAAATGCTGGAACAATAGAAGAACAAGCCAAAATCGAAGAGGCACGTCAACATTATTGGAACAATCGTTACAAAGTTAAGCCTAATAGTGATCTTCTTTGGAGAATGCAGGTCAGTAACTATAAGGGTCGTCTCGATCATAAGGCCACAAATTTTCCATCATTTTTGGTTGAAGTTTTGTCATGTGTAAGCTATATAAAAAGTATTAGCTTTAGTTTGACATAATACATAATTATGCCATTTAACTTGGTTTTGAATCACATTTATGTCCTTTAACTTTGGGTGTGTTCAAGTAGACAGTAAAACTTGTATAAAGTTGAACAAATAGATACACATGAACTTTGGGTGTGTTCAAGTAGACAGTAAAACTTGTATAAAGTTGAACAAATAGATACACATGTTCTATATGTAATCCTACATATCATTTTTTGTCCTATGTGGTGTCCTACGTATATTTTGTCAGGTAGGACTCATGTGTTTATTTATTTAATAGTTAGATAGTTAAAGTGTCTATTTGTGAATTATGAAAATTGGAGGTCGAAGTTAAAATTTGAAGCCAAGTTTATGGTTCAATATATGTATTAATTAAAACTTGAGAAAAAATAGACACATTGAATTAATTTATTTTTTAATAAGTCATCTCTGATTCAAATAATGACCCATTTATTGATTCATGCCATTTTAAAATGCTTAGAGAATTAGTTTTATGGCTTAATACATAAACAGATCCCTAAACTTGTTGAATTTGTTCTTTCAGGTACTTCAACTATGTTATTTCTCTATTGAATCATTGAACCACCATAATTTGTTGCTTTTAAACACCGTTGGCTGATGTAGAACAAGATTTTATGAAGGGTATTGATAGAGAATACATATGTTGTTTCATAACTCATTAATCCAATTGATAGAGAAAATATTCGAGAATAATTGTGTTTTACTTCAAGTTATTTGAACACATTAGAAAACAACTGAAACTACCACACAGTTTGTCTTCATTCCTTTAATCAAAATCATTACAATACAAACACAATTGAAGACATTTACAATAGAAAAACCGATCAAAATCGGTTAATAGTATTTAAAAGGAACAAATTATGGATGGTTCAATGATTCAATAGAAAAATGACGCAGTTGAGATAACTAAGAGAAAAAATCAACAATTTTAGAAATCTATTTATGAGTTCAGCCTAGTTTTATAGACTATTTATAAAGCCATAATACATACACATATCATCTAATTTAATCTTATCTTATATTGCCTCTTATATTTATGTTATTAACTTTAAATGTATGCAGGACTTAAACTTGTATAAAATTAAATAAACAGATTGATATGTCCTATCTGATATTGTAGGCGATGTCATATATGTGTTGGCATAATACATAAATATGCCCTTTAACTTGGCTTCGGATTATATTTATGCCTTTCAACTTTGGGTACGCACAAGTAGACACTTAAACTTGTATAAAGTTGAACAAATAAACACACATGTCCTACATGTCATTTTTTGTCCTACGTGGTGTCTTACGTGTATTGTGTCATATAGGACTCATTTGTTTATTTATTTAAAAGTTGGATAGTGAAATTGTTTATTTGTGCATTACAAAAGTTGGAGGTCAAAGTTAAAATTCGAAGTCAAGTTTAGGATCCAATATATGTATTATGCGTATTTGACTCATGTGTCTAAAGGGTCTGATATACCCCTCAACTTTGTCATTTAGAGTTGATATACCCCTTGTTATGAAAGTGGCTCATATATACCCCTACTTGTAAACAAATGACTCACATATACCCTTTTCCTCTAACGGAAATGAAAAAATAATAATTTTCAATCTATATTTTTATTATTTTTTTTCCAAAAAAATATAATCCCATATGAGTAAATTTAATCCTCGTCAAACATATTTTTTTGACTTTTTTTTTGTTTCAATGACTAATTTATAATTATTATTTTGATAATCAAATTTATTTATGTTTCACTAATATTCTTGTAAAACTTATTGTAGATGACCAAATTTTTTTTTGAATACGAAATTAAATTACAATACACACAAAAAATAGTTTATTTTTTTTCTTTAAACTAAAGAATGAAAGAAAAAAATAAAATAAGAATAAGAAACTCAAATAATTATAATAAAAGAAGTCAAAAAATAATTTATGTATGAAATAAAAATAAAAATATACCTTGAACTTTTATAGAAGAATCATATATACCACTAAATAATTTCTATAAAAATTATAAGTAATAAATATAAATTTAAAACTAATTATTTAAAATTTCGTTGAATGAAGGGTATATGTGAACCATTTTGTAACGACAGGGGTATATGTGAGCCGTTTGTATAACAGTAAAAGTATATATGAGTCACTTTTATAACGAGCGGTGTATCAGATCCAAATAATAAAGTTAAGGAAATATCAGACCCTTTGTTATATAAGTTAAAAAGTGAAATAATGCCAAGTTAAAAGGACAAATTGACGGATAATACAATTATTGTGCAGTTTTTGAGAGAGAAGAATTTCAAACAGAGAATTAGAGCAGTAAAAGTAGAAGAAGGAGAAGAAATTAGCCATGAAATTGCTACAGTTGCATTGCGTAGAGCTGTTCATTTCTTCTCAGCTTTACAGGCTACTGATGGACATTGGCCTGCTGAAAGTGCTGGTCCTCTCTTCTTTCTTCCACCTCTCGTAAGTTTTTTTTGTTTGAATTTGTGAACTTCTTTCGATAAAATGGGTGAACTAAAGCCAAAATTGTTTCAGGTTATGTGTATGTATATCACTGGGCATCTTAATACTGTATTTCCAGCTGAACATCGGAAGGAAATTCTTCGTTATATATACTGTCACCAGGTATATGATGGAGTGTCACAATGAATATACTAGTGCAAATAAAGTTCATTCTGAATTACTGATTGTTATATCCTGTATTAAGGTTAGTCAAAAAATATTGAAACAAAAATAAGATGAAACGGACAGAAAAACTTTTAATTCGAATCCACCGAAACCATTGTGTTTTATTAAGAAATTTAATTACCTAACTGTATTCGAGATTGCAGATTAATTTCTCCCAAGATAAAAGTTTGAAGTAGCGGTACATCAAACTTCAATTACTTCAGTGAACGTAAGAACAGTAACAAGAGCACAAGCGGAACCTCAAACTTTCCATAACTTCAGTGAACGTATGAACAGTAACAAGAGCGCACATAGACTCAGTCGATTGAATTTAGTTTTTGAGAGAAAATGTCTGCAAAAGTAGCGCTACTTAGGAAAAATTTTCAATGCTTGAAAAAATGAAAAGGACCTCCATTTTATAATCATTTTCAGCAAGAAACGTGTCTGTTCAAACCAAACCAGTTTTATCCAAAAAAAGCTGTCATGCAATGACGGCGCGAGGGGCACCTTCTTCTTGACCCTTTAAGAAGTAAAAGAAGTGTTTCCTAATATAAGGACAACAATTTTCTTTCTTCCACCAGTATGGGAGAAATGACTTTTCATTTTCCTTCCAAAATTGGTTCCCTCACTTTTCCATTTTTCTCTTCTCTTTTCCCATTCACATTTTGCTAAAACCCAACACTGATGACATTCTGTTTTATTCAGAATGAAGATGGTGGATGGGGTTTGCACATAGAAGGTCACAGTACTATGTTCTGTACAGCTATGAGTTACATTTGCATGAGGATCCTTGGAGAAGGACCAGAAGGCGGTGTTAATAATGCGTGTGCTAGAGCAAGGAAATGGATTCTTGATCATGGTAGTGTCATCGCCATTCCTTCTTGGGGAAAAACATGGCTCTCGGTATGACTAGTATTTAACTTATATACACGATAGCATACAAAATTATATATTTTAACTTGTTATAACAGATAGTATACAAAATTATGTATTACTATCTGTTATAACAAGTACTATACTGACAAGTGCTAATGTACAAAAAAATTCACATTGTTAGTGAATTTTAACCTGTTGTAATTATCTTTTAGACGGCTTGAATCATTTCATATATTCAAGTAAATTTCGAGTGTCATGTATGTCTTCGTGCTATGTTTACAATTACTCTTTGAAGATCTGACATGGGTGCGGCAATATTTTTGGAGGATCCGAGCAACCTTGTCTTCTTGTGCTGAGAAATTTCCCCTTCTTTCAATCAGATTCTTGGAGCTTTCGAATGGATAGGAACCAATCCAATGCCACCTGAGTTTTGGATTCTTCCATCTTTTCTTCCCGTGCATCCAGGTTGGTTAAACGTTTTTATTCCTCGTGCATGTCATCCAGGTTGGTTAATATTTTTATTCCTCGTTATCTAACTGCAGCAAAAATGTGGTGTTACTGCCGAACGGTCTACATGCCAATGTCTTATCTCTATGGGAAGAGATTTGTTGGTCCAATCACACCTCTTATTTTGAAATTGAGGGAAGAGCTGTATGATCAGACATATGATGAAATTAACTGGAAAAAAGTGCGCCATGTATGTGCTAAGGTATGACTCTCAAAGGTTGTTTGATTACCAAGATAAGAAAAACAATGCCGACATGAAGTTTGGTGTTATTTGTCCCTGTATAACCTTGTCTACGGACCAAACGAGTCCTCAGTGTTGAAGTTAGAGTCTACATCATACCATCTTCTACAAATGCTCAAACATGAACTTGTTGCTGCAGGAGGATCTTTATTACCCGCATCCTTTTGTTCAAGATTTGATGTGGGATAGTCTCTACATATGTACCGAGCCTCTATTGACTCGTTGGCCTTTCAACAAGTTGAGAAATAAAGCTCTTGAAGTTACCATGAAACACATACACTATGAAGACGAGAATAGTCGATACATCACCATGGGATGTGTGGAAAAAGTACGAAACTAACTCATTTTTGACAGACTAATAAATTACCTGCATTCTCTTAATGACTACAATAGTTCAATTGTTAGAGAACACTGAATGTAACACTTGCATGATGTAGGTATTGAGTATGCTCGCTTGTTGGGTTGAGGATCCCAATGGCGATCATTTCAAAAAACATCTTGCTAGGATCCCAGATTTTTTATGGGTAGCTGAAGACGGAATGAAAATGCAGGTTGGTAGATCGGAATAGTTCTATTTCACAAGCCACAATGAGTTAAAAAAAGAAGCGCATTTACAATTAACGTGTTGTAATATAAAAAATCTAGCCCCCTTTCCTAGTTTGAACTTTGAAGTGATGCAAACATTTGTTACTGACATTAGCGAGTATTTGTTGTTGAATTGCAGGGTTGTGGTAGTCAATCATGGGATGCTAGTCTTGCTATTCAAGCGCTATTGGCCAGTGAGATGAATGATGAGATATCAGATACTCTTAAAAATGGACACGACTTTATAAAACAATCTCAGGTTTGGATGTTTAGATGGTGAGCATATCAACTCTTTCAAATAGTGGACCTTATTAATGGAAGTAACTATTTGCAGGTGAAGGACAATCCTTCTGGTGATTTTAAAGTGATGTATCGGCATATCTCAAAAGGATCATGGGCTTTTGCAGATCAAGATCTCGGATGGCAAGTATCTGATTGCACTGCCGAAGCGTTAAAGGTACCTAACTTTTCAATGAAATGAGATTTCAACTTGTAATTGTTGAAAAATGGTATTATATTTTTGTTTTTCTAGTGCTAGTAAATTTTCCTGATATTTTCTTATTTTTGTTTATCTAGTGCTGCCTTCTCTTCTCTACAATGCCTCCTGAAATAGTTGGTGAGGCAATGGATCCAGTGCGACTGTATGACTCGGTGAATGTTATTCTTTCATTACAGGTAGACACTGAATGATTAAATCATTAAGTCATTTAATCTGAAAGTTGTTTTCTGCTTGTAGAATGATTCCAAGAGAAGCGTATCCAATACATGGTTACCTGTGAATTGTGAAATGAATTCCTTTTTTCTGAATTTAGTCATTCGTCATTTGGCTCATTTCTAGTAATGATGAGATCTATTTTAAATAAACTGCAGAGCAAGAATGGGGGTTTATCAGCGTGGGAACCTGCAGGGGCCCCAGAGTATTTGGAGGTAACTTCTCTGCCAAGTAAAATAATCGTTCGAATTTTGAGATTCATGATATAGTAAGTTTATATATCTTCTTCATTTCAACGTTGTTGAAAACCTTCGACCTCTTCTATAATCTTTCCTGAACCTGAATAAGTATTTTTCATGGTTGTTATATTTCTCAGTTGTTAAATCCTACTGAATTTTTCGAGGATATTGTGATTGAGCACGAGTAAGATTCGTTTCTCTCTCTCCCTTTAGTTTTTTTCCCACAATTCCAAGTCTCCATTTTACTGCTTCACACTGATTCAATGTCATTCCAGGCATGTTGAGTGCACTAGCTCGGCAATCCAAGCACTTGTTCGTTTTAAGAAGCTATACCCTGGACACCGAACCACGGAGGTTGACAATTTTATTAATAATGGTGTTAAATATATTGAAGATGTACAGGAGCCTGACGGTTCATGGTATATGATATTTCTCTCGTGAGCCCTTGAACTTGCAAATTCCTTTCTGCTTTATCGATTATGACATGATTAATCGTGTCAACAGGTATGGTAACTGGGGCGTGTGCTTCATATACGCTTCCTGGTTTGCTCTTGGAGGGCTTGCTGCTGTAGGCTTGTCGTACAGCAACTGTGCAGCTGTTCGTAAAAGCGTAGAATTTCTTTTAAGAACACAAAGGTCTGATGGTGGTTGGGGAGAAAGCTACCGTTCTTGTCCTGACAAGGTAATGTAACAGCAAAAAAGGCCACGTAAAGGTCGGTTATATGAACTTTTGCTTCATTTGGATCTTTTCGAGGAGGAAATATAAAGATGAATGTTCACAAAGACAACTGTGACTCAGCTTTGTATTTGATCAAACAGGTATATCGAGAGCTTGAAACAGAACACTCGAATCTTGTACAAACTGCATGGGCATTGATGGGATTGATTCACTCTGGCCAGGTTAATACCTTGTTACTAGTAGTAACATGTTAAATTTTTTCACCATCGTAGTAAAAAGTTTCTTGGACAGGTTGAGAGAGATCCGAGGCCTCTCCACCGTGCAGCAAAGCTGTTAATTAATTCTCAGATGGAAGATGGTGACTTCCCACAACAGGTAATTACTCCACGAATTTATCTGTGTTCAGTATTTGGATGAATTTAAACGAAACGAACATAGATGATTCATATATATAGTCTGACTGGAACTAGTTTAGAATCTAGTCGTATTTGATTGATATTGATTAATAAATATAAAGAAACAAGCTCTATCAAACTGGCAAAACTGATACAATACGTGCGTCCACTATCAGTCAACGCACCAGGTCCCTTGACACACTCAAAATAAGAATGAAGAGTAAATAATGACAGAAAACAACACAAGAAGTTTACGTGGAAACGTCCTTGCTCAAGGGAGTAAAATCACGATCTGTCACACAGGATTTTCAACGGTCTTCACTAATCTTCACAAACAAAAGTGAAACCCGATTTGCTTGAAGAGCCTTAGCAGATGACACTCTGTCCACTAAGATATCACCACTAGACAACTTAGGATTCAACTAAGCAACATGCAGGTTGCTCACTAAATCACCATGCTCCGGATGACTTAGAGTTTAACTAAGCAACACACAAGGCTGCCCACTAAATTAGTTGGACTCACCTAATTTAGACTTTTTCAACAAACCAAAATATCTGAATCCTTTATACATTTCGAAACAGATTTACAATGCATGTGCAGAAATAATCCTAAGACAACTAACCTTCCAGCTCTTTCCGATTCGAGTTGATCTTAAGGATGCTTCTTCACTTCTTTTGTCAGCCTTGCAAGAGTTCTTGAGATGTTTTTCAAGTTGCAAAAACTAAGGTTGTGACTATTGGAACATCATCTTTATGTAGAATAGTCACAAAACCATGTCATTGGCCGAGGTTTCTGCCACTATTGGATTTGTGCACCAACTTTTTGTATTTTTTCCAACCTGACAGTTTGTGTGTATATTTCCACTCGGGGGCATGTCTCTTTACGAGGTCCCTGAGTTTGTTATATCATCAAAACTACAAATAACAAAAACAATATTTAATAGAACAGAGATTTGTTAAAACCAGTTTTATCAAATTATTGTTTTTATCTAACTTTATAAATATGTGCAGGAGATAACTGGTGTTTTCTTGAGGAATTGCATGATGCACTATGCATTATATAGGAATATATTTCCATTGTGGGGTTTGGCTGAATACCGCAGGAATGTCTTAGTACCATTAAAACACAACTACATATAGAGAATGCAATTTGGGCCTTCCGCGGATTCCGTATATAGCGGGAGCTTAGTGAATCGAGTTGTCCGTTGTTTGTTTTTTGTGTTAATGTAAGTGATCACCCAAGTAGTGGTTAGATATGACTATGATCGACCTGTTAGGTTGTGGAGCCTGATTAATATTTGTTATACTGCAATATTTATTCTCCATTTATTCTCTATAACCTAAAATACTCTGAATTATTAATATATATACCCACCGCCGTGGAAGTTTACTCACGGGGTGTTACCACGAAATATTGGTTTCTCTCTTTCTCTCTCTAGATCTCTCATCTCTTTCTCTTGAAAGTTCTTGTGTTCTAAATTCATCATGTGTGTGTGGATTCAATGCTAATACGACCCTTAATCAAATGGTTCGGATTCGAGCCTCGAGGATGGAAAGAATCTTGATATGATATGCTTCCTCCTTTAGGGTTCTACATAGGGGATCTACATGAATCCAATGTATACATTACTCATGAATCTACTAAACATCTATTGATATTTGTTTGTAAGCTCAATTATTATTTTCGTTTTAGTATTATTTAGTTATATCGTAGTTTCTTATTCTTCCCGGTATATTACTATTTGTTATTGCATTTATTTTTTGTTGTCTACTGGAAATAACCTTCCTACCCCATAAAGATAGCGTAAAGTTTGTGCATATCTTATCCTTTTCAGGCCTCACTAAGATTGCGTCGAATATATTATCATCGTTGAACTCAACTATTATTATAGTATTAAGTATTAACTTGAGGCCATAAAATTTAAATTCTAAATTCGTTTTTAGTTCAACAAAGGACAAATCATTACTCTGATTAATCCAGATTAGTCGAAACAATGAGTATAGTTAAATGAATATGCCCCCCCCCCCCCCCCCGACCCTCACAAGTTAAGATATTTTTCTTGAGAGCCTTACTCTGTGGTCATCTATATGGATAGTCACCGGTCAAATCAAATGAGCCATACCGACGGACAAATAAAGAAAAATTTTCAATCAAAATAATATGTATAGGACCAATCTATTATTCTTCCAATTGTGGCAAGTCTTTTTCGAAGCAACATAACATGGTATTTAAAATTGCTACGTGTAAACGTTAATCAATATATTTGTGTGGTTTCAAGCAAAGGACATATGGTTGAAGCAACACAAAATATGAGGCAAATAATTAAATACTTTGACTTTGTTTTATAGAAATTTATTACATGTTAAATTTGAGAGTCGTGTGATAAAAGGACTAATTATTAAGTCCTCTCATTAGATTTACTTTTTTATATTTGTGTCTATTGACAAATTATCCATTTCAAACTTCATTTTAACTAAATAAATTTAATTCAAAAGAAGTATTCACTTTAAAATTAAAAAAAAGATACTAGTAGTTTTCCCAAATCTATAATTTATACAAATTTTTGAGAAAATTTCTTGATAGTTATTACTCATCTTGAGGAAAAAGACATAAGAAAACCAGAATTAAACTAATACAAGTTCCTCAAAGTTACAATTAAAATGTATTTTTTCTTCATCTTTTTATTTTAATAGAAATCAATTATGGGTGTTACATTTAAAGTTAAAATATTATTTATGTAATAAGTATTTTGAGGTTAATGACTATTAACTATTTTTTCCTAGATTTTGCACTAATTAAAGTTAGGTATAGCTCCACACTTGTACTTGTCAAATGTCAATGATGAGTGATATTAATTATAATTAATAATAAGGTACAATTCCTCAATCCTTAGTGTTTTCTTACAAATTTCCAAAGTAGAAATTAAAATCATATTCAATAATATCGATTTTGGTTAGGCATGTTGGGTTAGTCTTATCTAACTCGTGAATGATAGGAGACCTGAATAAGTATGCTGATTAGTGAGACTTGAGAAATATAAATAAGGCCGATCCATGGTCCAAATATAAACAATATAGAATATTAAAATTAATAAGAATCCAAACTCAAAACCTATTTTGAAGTTTTAAATATTAAAATTTAAATACAATTATGTTTATAAAATATGTACTTCATGAAAGAAAAATTTTCTACAATTTTTAGGGACTCACTAAGTAGGCCATAGCCTATAAAAATATTGTCATATTTTTGTTTTTTTAATGATCATTAGAAAATAATTAGTTTACTATTTCTATTTAACTATCTATACTTTTACTTGAAATCAAACTTAATAAATAATATAAAGATAATTTTATTTGTGGATTTGATTAAAAAGTAGTAACACGAACACCATGTAATATTGTCTTGTCAATTTTTATGATAATATTTTCAAATTATAATTTGATTAAAAAATTATAAAAAAATATATTTTTGCAAAAACTGTAGCCCACGTAGTTGCGGGTTAGGTTGACCGTTTTCTGGTCCACAAAATAAATGGGTCAGCCCGACCTAGCCTGTCAATTTAAATTTCTAAATTTATATGAGTTAGTTCGGATGGAATGGACCACCCTATATTAACACCTCTAATTTTAATAATAATAAGATCGCAACGTTCAACGTAGGTATACGTTATAGAAACCATATCATATTATTTACCGCAAATGAATTATCTTGGACTATTATTTAGGTTAAACAAAAGCTTCAGCTTTGCTTGTGTTTAATACTCGAGCTCTAACTCTTGCTTGTATTTTTCATCAACGATTGTTGAATATATCACTCATTCTGCTTTAAAAATAAAAAATATTCTTGTGTATTTATAATTTTTATAAGAATTGTTAATTAATTGAAAACTTTTGAATTATTATTTTTTCAGCTAAATATATATGTGCAATATACATTTATTTGTACATATCCTAAAAAAAGTGGATTTTACTAAACCTAGGATCACATTACCTAATTTATTTGGAACTTATTGACTTATAACTGATTTTTATTCAAAATTGCACTTAGTAAAGTTAGGTAGCTCCACACTTGTAATTTGTAGTCAATATAGACTTTCAAAGTGTCATAATTTTGTCAACTCATCTAGTTTTTTTAATATTTTAATAGATTGATTAAGTGATATTTTAAATGAATAAAATAAAAATTACCATTTACATTTAATTTGGACAGTAACAGATAAAATACGAGTTAGCTAAAATTATTTTTACTCACTCGGATGCTTAATTGGTAGAGGGTTCAAGTATCTAAGATACTGAAACTAATTGTAATAACTAGTATCTTCTTTGTCTCAAATTATCTGTTATAATTATGTTTTACACGTTTCTTAAGAAAATATTAATTTAACTTTTTTTTTTTTTTACATATTTTATCTTTATTATGTCTTGTGATATATTTTAGTTATTTCAAAAATAATTGCTCTTAAGGGTAAAAGGGAAAAACATAATTAATTTTATCTTAAATTTCTAAAATAATAAATAATTTAAGATAATTATTTTAAATAAACATGACAAATAATTTGAGACGATACTAATTATCAAAAGTTATGTTGATAGCAAAATTGTCTAATATACTGTAAAAACCTAAATTGTCTATATATGATGAAGTTAAATTTTGAAAAATAATAATTCTATCAGACACTTAAAAATTATAAAAGAACAAATTAAATAATTAAAATTTAGTAAAAATTGAACAAACCCGATCTTATTCCACATTTTAGTCTATTTTAATTCAAATAATTTTTAGATAAATTAATAGCACGTCTATTTTAATCTGTTTAAATTCAATCAAATTAGCTGATTTAATTATTTGGTTATTACTTTAAATGAGATGACTATAATTTTGTCTTTTTGTTCTTATATGCCTAAATTTTGTTTTATCTATAAAAAAAAATCCAATGCGTCCAATAAATGGAATTTAGACCTTGTACCAAAAAAAAAGAATAAGTAATAATTATCAGTAATGTTTATTATAGAAATTTAGTTATAATTATTCGATAAAGTGATCTAATTAAGTTTTTATATTTTACTTATCGATGTTAGAAAAAATTTATATGATTTTTCTAATCTTATAAGAGATTATATGAAGTATATTACTTTAGTTTTTGTAATCTTATAATTAAGACAGGATATAAAATGTATTATAAATATGAAAAGTGACTGTCTTATTTTCTTTTTTTATTGGTTTAATTATAGTGTAAATTTTATGCTTTTTTAAATGAAAAAAAAATAATAAAAAATACAATTGTTATTGACAGGGAAATCCTAGTCATTGCGACAGGTTCGACTAAGAAAGTATATAAGAATTTTCGAAATTTTTTATTTGAAAAATCACTTGCTTAATCAACTCGATTATTTTTTATAGATTATACATTTTAATATATTGACACGAAATCTTATTAAAATTTTCAAAGTTTACTTATTTCACGCGGATAAAATACATTTGTAAATTACCTAAGAATATTAGAACCTACATATAACCCTACAAGCTCAAAATTAAATACTCCGCTTTTATCATAAACTTAATTTTTTTAGTATGTTATACCAAGCCAATAAATGCAAAACATGTGTATTTCGTGGAGATATAATTAATTACGTTTTCGGATCATTTTTCTTTGTCATGATGTGTTTTTCGAAAAGTCGATTTCATTAATTTTCAAAGTTAAATTAGATTAAACTAATTCAATATTTTAAACAAAAAACTTCGATATATAAAAACTATACGAAAGTCAAAAAGTATGATATATTACAATTTTTTGCATATAAATATAATAAAAAATAAATCGTAACATGTTAGTCAAAATTTTTATAATTTAACTCTAAAAAGAAAACTATGACAATTAAAACTGAACCGAGGTAATAACATACATTTTCACATAATTTTTAACTTCAAATATTTGTAATATTTATTTTTTAAGTGTGTTTATGTAAAGTTGAAACAAGACAATATGAAGAATTCTCCAAGAAAAGGAATTATAAAAAAAAGAAAAAGCCAGTAGATGGTATATATCTTTATCATCATCATAATGACAAAAAAAAAAAAAAACTTGTAATTTGTATTATAAATAGTTGCATAATATCACCAATTTTTTTCCACACAAACATAATTTTTTGACCTTGCTTATACCAAACTTTATAATCCTACTTTTAAATATATTTTTTTGTTATTGCTTTATACCCAAATTCCTCCAATTTAAATACTATAATGAGTCTTTAACATAAAAAAATAAAATAAAGTTCATCCGAATTTATTGTTCATTCCCTTTATACCTTACACACTTTCAGCATAAACTCCCTCTTATTATTTAAGTAAAATTTCACTCATTTTATTTCCTATCTCCAACAACTCTACATATAATTATCCTAGTAAGTATAT